GCGGTAAACAGCTGGATTGCAGGCTGCAGGGCCCCAGTTCCTGGGGCCGGGAGCAGCAGCTGCACCTCGGAAGTCCGAGGGCTGTTCCTACGCTGGAGCTTTGCCAGAGGTCTTCACAGAAGCCGGGGCAGGAGCTGAACAGGATCGTTCCGCCTCCCAGCACACAACGGCCCGAGTGAAGAACCAGAGAATCCTGTTAAGGCCTCACAGAAACCTTGGCAAAACGGGAAAAACAAAACAAAACGAAAATCCAGCAGCACTTGGAGTAAGCTACTCCACTTCCATGCCCTTTAAACGCCACCATTGTATCATCACCTTTGCCCCCTCTCAGGGAGCGTGAGCAACAGCGAGAAGCGGGGAACCTTCTGCTTCCTCCTCCCACCCCGGGTCTGTCCCACTGGCCTAATTCTCCATCTGGCTCATGGCTTCATCCCGGCCCTGCGGAGCGTTTGCTGGCTCGGGCGTAGACAAGTGCTCCAGCTCGTAATGGCCGTTCCTCGCCGCTGCACAGCTCGGGCGACCCTTTTCCGCCGCCAGCTTTTTACTCTTCTTGCTCTCGATGATCTGCTGGAGCTGGCGCGTGGCTTAGTCCGGCCCCCGGTGGCGTGCACGGCGAGCCCCAGGATTTCGGGAACCATGTAAGGCCGGAGCCAGCCCACCAGCGGGGTGCTGCCAGGGGTGTAGTGGGTTTGCTTGTGATAGAAGAGAAGTCCGTCGACCTGTAAAAAGGAGAGAGGTGAATGAGAGGCCAGAGCTGGAGGCTTCGGCAGGGGGGCGACGCAGCGCCAGACAACAGCACCGCTCTCCGTTTACAGGCCAAAACTACCAGCTGGATCGTTTTTCCTCAAGCAGTGCAATAAATAGCGGAAGCGAAAGAAGAGACCTACAGAGCTGCTGCCCTGAGAGACCAGCGCAAGCGCAGCAACTGCCGGACGGCTCGAAATCGTCACAGGCAAACAATGTCAGCCCGACGTCGGCGTGGACCGGCACTGTTCCTCTGGTTGCTACGATCCCCTTCTGGAGAAAAGCCATCAGGTTTCTGAACAAGGCAGCACACAGAAAGGCCACTTTACCGGATTAAAGTTATTTTAAGTAATACATTTGGAGAGTAATTAGTCAGAGCGCATGACGCCAAGGAGCCCCACTTTGTAATGCTGCTACAGCTCTTTCAGCTGGCTTCTGCAAAATGAACTCTTCATGTTTCCCGAGAGAGAACTTCTCCAGCAATCAATGGCAGTTAAGGGCACTCAGGGCTTTGAAGGTTTAGGCCCTAACTCTTGTGCTACTATTTCCACACTCTGCAATCCTGCAGCTGGCTGACGTTATCCCCGCTTCCCTGCCATGCTCGGGGGTTTTCACCCCCCTCTCTTCCTGCGCTTCCCGGGGCTGCGCTCTGCGAGGTTCGATCCTGCCGACGGGCTGACTCACGCTGGAGGTGCTGCTCCTCTTAGCTCAGCCTTGCAAGTTCCTAAAAGGGCATTTTGAGTGGGCAGAAGCGCTGAAAGAAAGAGCCCACCTGGGGCTGAGTTGCTCGCAGGCCCTGCCCCGAGCCTACAGAATATATCCGGCAGGATGGCACCTACGGGCAGTGAGCCGAACCAGAGCGAGTCAAGCAGACCCAAGGTAGCACCTACCTGCTCCCACGCTGGCCCGCGAGCCAGGCTGAGCAAAGAGCAGCGTATGTCCACCTCTGCTCCGTGGATGCTGACCTCCAGCAGAGAGGGCAGAGCTTCTCGCCCTACTCTGTCCATAATTTTCAGTCACTGTTAAGATCTTGCAAAACAATCCCAGAAAAAGGGGGATTCCTGTGCTAGGAAAACATAAAACCAGGACAGTAAGCATCATGGTGAGCTTGTGTAACCCTCTAGATATCCGAAGCACAAAGCTTCTCCCTCCCCCTGCCTCCCAGGAAGACTTGGGAAGCGCCAGATTCTGCGGCACCCCACACATCCAGCCCATCCCTGCGAGTCTGCGGTGCTTGGGGAGCCGCCGGAATGCTTTGGTGAAGATCAGAGCCCGGAAAGGCTTCTGCCTTCCAGACCACTCCAAAGATCTTCCCCAAACGGGAGAGTTCAGAGGAGTTCAGCCTGGTGTAGAGTTAGGTCATGTTCTTCCTTCCCCTCATTCCTCCCAAGTTACTCCGACTCCCATATTCATCCCAGTTATTGAACTCGCTGGCCGGGTCCCTGCCCTGCGTCGCTGACAAGGGCTGACACCATCCCTAAACAACGGAACCTGACGAGAAACTGGCCGGGCAGGATTGCCCGTTTCACGGCCACACTTGTCAGATTTTCGGTGCTTAGCAGTATGCCCGTTCCTTCGCGCCGGGGTGTTCTCAGAGACTTTGGCTGCCCCTGCCTTCGTGGAAACCCAGGCGGTGTTTTACTCAGACCTGCGAGCAGGACAATAGCTCTTCAGATCCACTCCAAAACCCACTTCAGATGCAGTGCCAGCCAACTGTTCCAAAGTCCACTGAATTCAGCAGAAAAAACCACAATCAGCTGGATATAGCGGCTCAGGTCCTAACTCTATGGTTACAGATTAACCCTGAAAACCCAGGTCTGGAAGTGCTGCCCACATCTGTTGCCACCACACACACGAGCTCCTCGTAAGGCTCCCGGGACGCCGTGCCCAGGCACACGCAGACCTCTATCACGCCGTGCTCTCTAGAGCAAGGCTCTATTTTCTCTTCTGCAAAGTTTCCCTCTCCAAGTTCTGTTGGCGGAAGCTATTTACGGGGATTTCTTGGGCTCCCTCTTGCGGCACGTCACAAAGAAACCCGCGCTCCCCTCCATTCCTGGAAGCAGCACCACGGTTTCTGCGGGGTTACCGGCTGCCTTGCGCCAAATTCCACTGCCTTTCGCTTGCTGGGGTTGCACCCCGACGTATCGGCCAGAGAACCCAGGGGCAAACCACGGCTGGATGGCACGGGAGAGTCTGATCAGCTCCACCTCCCTCTGCCCGCGTTTCGCAACGCTCTCCTTCGTGGGCCGAAACGTTTCTGCTCTGACCGCAGTGGGGCAATCCTCCTCAGCCTTTCCTCGTGGGAGCAGATGCCTCCGGAAGGAATGAAGCTTTCTTCAGCAAAGACGGGAATGAGCGTTTCCACAGAGGCACTCCGAGCATTTGCAACTGAGCAAGCCAGTGGCGGGAGACCTGGGCTGCCTCCTCACCATTCCCTGCTCTGTGCTCAGAGCAGGGGCTGGCAAGACCAGCGACGGGCTGGGACTTTCCGACTCTCTCTAACGGCCATCCTGGCTTTGACAAGCTGAAGGCAAAGTCAGCCCTCAGAGCCATATTAGGGTCCCTTAAGCTTAAACCTGCGCTGACATTAATCGCTAGCTTGGGCCAAGCGAGCGCGAGAGACGCAGTCGGATCAACGTGGCTCTTGGCTCAGTGGGACAAGCGACCTCTGCAGAGGCTGCTCCCAATCCAGGGCCGAGCCCAGGCACTCTGCCGGAGCCGCTGCAGCCACTGGAGGAGCTTCTGGCTCCCAGACGTTTGTCACCGACGCCGTGCCGCAGGGCCATCGCCTCCTCCATCCACGGGTCAGCAGAGAGGCCCCGACAGCACCGACTTCTAAAGCTGCTGAAGCAAATGCAGGTGTCCTGTTCTCCCCCTTGCCAGGGAGATGGCCACCTCGGAGCCAGTCAAGAGCAGCAGAAGCCGAAGGGAGGAAGCTGCCAGGTTGGCACCACAGCGAAAAGCAGAGCTTGCAGTGTCCCCTCCAACAGTAGCACGGCAGGAGGACAGACTCCTCTGAAACCCTCCCAGCCATTTCTGCTCAGCCACCTGCCCCCGGCTCCAGCACGTCCCAGGGGCTCACCACTGACACCCGCACCCCCCAGAAACCATCGGGAGCTTACCACCACCCTTGCCTGTCCTCCCCACGAGGCACGAGACAGCTGGGTGCCTCGCACGTAGAGAGATGGAAGCAGCTAGACTCAGGAGACACAGAACCCATGGCAGAGGTGGAGACAAGACACCACTCTGCCCGCCCCTCATGAGAAACACCACCACCTAAGGGAGCGCACCGCCGAGATCTACACCCCCGCAAGCCCACCCGGGGCAGCGGGCAGTACCAGCTTTGGCCCTAAAAGGGTCAGCTGTCCGTCATGCTGCCGTGTGAACGTGAGCTACGCTGCTTCTGGAGGCAGTCTGTGTCTCCGCAGCAACCCCCCTCTTCCCCAAGGGCTCCTTCAGACAACAGTCAACAGCAGCAAAGGCAGCCCAAACGCAGGGAACGCTGCGGCTTAACTCTCGCCGATTGTAACCACTCGGCCACTTGCACGACAGGCAGCCATCGCCCCTACCACCGCACGGCTTTGGGGGGCTCCCCTTCCCGCGGGCCTCGGGCGAGCGCAGCTCCCAAGCCAAGGGGATGCCCCCCTCCCTGAGCGCCGGCAGATGCACAGCCGGGCTGTCTCTAGGGCCGAGGTCCAGGCGCCCACTTGTGTGTTCTCACCTCGAAGGGGAAGTCCATGGCCAGCACCTTACACAGGCTGTCCGAGGAGCAGGGGAAGTTCTGCAGGCCCACAAATTTGAACTGAAAGAGTAAGAGAGGGTTAGAAAGGACAACGGCATGGCCTAAAGCAGAGCAAGTCACTGAATCGAGCACTGGTGTGGAGGCGGCTAAGAAGGCAGGGTTTCCCCCAGCGCAAGATCCAGCACGAGAGAGACAGGGTGAGGGACGGGCGTCAGACAAAGTAACCAGAGAGGAGATCTCCAGCAGGGACCACATCGTTGAACCGCTGGCCTTCCTGCCGCAGGGTACTGGGGCCCAAAAGCACAAGCGGGCTCAAAAGAGGATTAAGAGGATTAATCCTCAAAAGAGGATTAGACCAGCTCCTGGAAGGCAGGTCCCCCAGTGGAACCCAACTCCATGGTCTAGGTACAACCGCTGGCCGATGAAGTCAGAGGGATCGTGACAGGTATCCCCAACTCCTTACGCTTTGCACAGCAACTGGTCTCTGTGATTGCCACAGATGACTGGGCCAGACAGACCTCTGATGCGATTCAGAACAGCAATTCCTAAGCAAACCCCCCATCTAGGGACAACAGGACCAAGCTGTCCATCGGTGCTGATCACATCCCACCAGAGCAACTGGAAGTGCCTGCAGGAAAACCTACAGAAATCACCCTAGCCACTGGAGAAGATGGGGTGGGAAACGTTTTTAGAGATAATCCCTGCCACCGCTCCAGCAACGCTGGCTAAAGCACGTACATCGCTGCAACTTTACAAATCCCGTTGCAGTAACAGAAGATAGCCTTTACAAGACGACCTGGGGATTGCCACCGTGATGCCCAGCCAGATCTCCTTCAGGTATTTTATCGTCCCCGTTCCAGCTGACCCTCTCTCCGGCATTTACTGAGAGCTGTGGATGGCAGAGACTCAGCGCACAGCTCCCACACGCTCCCGCTACCTTCTTTCCAAGCATCTAAGACTGCAAGAAGGGCTCTTCAGGAGAGCTGACCCTGAGATGCTCTTTTAACCAAAATAGAAAATGATGACCCCTGGGCAGGATGCAAAGCAGACAGACGCCTGCTCCAGGCTGCTGGCTCTGCCAAGCAAATCTTTCCACCCAGGAAATGAAAGCTGAAACTAGCCCCGCTTCGTTAGGTAGCTGCCTCCTGGGTATTCCCGCTGGAGTCACAGCGGGACGTTCTTCAAACACAGATACCGTCGCTGCTGGCAGAGGAGCAGTCCTCCCCATTTATGACCGATCTGCTCAACCCACAGGAGCTGCTCTGCTGAGCCGTGCCTGTGCACGCACGGGGCGGTGCAGCCATCGGGTCCCGCTTACAAGCTGTGCTCTGTAAGCCAGGCTGCCGAATCCCTCACGTCTGTCCCCAAAAATCACCTTCCAAGCTGCTGCGGGTTCTAGGCCTGACCTCCACGCTATGCCTTCAAAGGAAGACTTTTTATCCTTGCCCAGCAGGGACTCCGGGTGGCAATCCGGCCTCCACCTCGACAACTTCAGTGATCAGCGTCAGCAGGAGGGAAGGCTAAAGCTTTACGATCCTTCCCCCTTGCCTGTGAGCCCTCAAGACTACGTAAAATAATCCCCATTGTAGTCAGGCTGCCGACCAACACTGCCCCTGTAGAAACCAGACTGGTTTTTCCACTCCGCTTCAAGGGAAAGCTAAAAATGGCATGGAAGTTAGCTGATACCCTGCAGTCTGATCTGCCTCGGCACTTTGGCTGGGGGAAAAAGGAAAAAACCAGCCCTACACTCATTTACAATACTCCGTAGTTCTATTTGCATCCTGAACACGGCATCCCATTTCATCAGAAGTACACTCTGAAGCCTGATCTGCGAGGGGGAAAAAAATAGAAAGAAAAAAGCTTCCGCTTGTGAAAGAAAGTGCTGAAGCCT